CCGCGGAGCCGTGCGGGGAGCGCCGGGGAAGGGCCTCTGCCGCCCTGAAACCCCGGAGTTGGCTTGACAGCTTCGGAGCTGTTACCGTGAGTTCCCTCTACTGAAAGAGTTAACAGAACGGAAAAGCAAAAAAATCAGAATGTATCTTTTTGATAAGAGTAATAAAAATAAAAAAGTTGGTTATTACATACATCATTAATTCTGGTGTAAGTAAAACTAAGTTTGTTGAGGTACTAAGGTAAAGTTCACTGTGTACTTCTCCTAATGACTAGAATCGAACCTCAAAGTATTTGATTTAATGGATTGGCTATGAGTCTTCACTGCCAGCTGTTACAGTTTTGTATTTACATTTTCTACCTCTACTAAAGTGTGTTCCACAAAGAAGAGAAAACAGAACCAGGAGATGCAGTGAAAGTGCTGTCAAATACCCAAAATAAACAAAACCAAAAATACTCAAGTAAACAAAAACGCTGCAGAAGGCTGTGTTTTGGTTTTGTTGTGTTTGGGTTTTTTTTTTTACTTCTTTCTTTTTAAATTCTGGAGTCTTTCAATAAGTTGCTTTTTGTAACAATAACTTTCAAGATACTTTGTTTACAGGGAGCTAAACCTGTCCCTTTAAACTGAGTGAAAGGATACTTGCTTGTGTTACTTATTACTCTTTTTTTTTTTTTTTTAATTGTACTCGTGGAGTCTGACCCTAGGAGTGGTAAAGGTTATAGTCCCTTAAACTCAGTCTGAAACTTGCTGTTTGTAAAGTAAATATTGTCAGTGTTGCTGGTTCATGGTAGATGAAGTGAAGATATTCTTTGACTTAAATTGTACTGCTGTGAATCAGGCTGTCACAAACTGAGGGCTGTTTTCTCGCAAAAATACTAAAAATTGTACTGCTGTGAATCAGGCTGTCACAAATTGAGGGCTGTTTTCTCGCAGAAATACTAAGCTTGTAAAATACTCGTTAATATTCTTGATTACAATTTAATTGTATTTTTAAATGCTTTCACTAGGTTCATTCCAGCCAACAAATGAAATGATGCTCAAGTTCTATAGCTTTTATAAGCAAGCAACCCAAGGACCCTGTAACATTCCACGTCCTGGATTTTGGGATCCAATTGGTAGATATAAATGGTAACTTTTCATTAGTTGTTTTGTTTGTTTGTTTTTTTAATGCTTGGAGTTGAGATGTTTAGAAAACTGGCACTTGGAGAAAGAGTTTAGTGAGCTTATTTCTCTCTTAAAAAAAGAACATTCACAGCTTTGCTTGAATTTGTTTGTTGTCTTGTGTTCCAGCTTTCTAGCTCAGATAACTTATAACTTCTCAGAGCTGCAGGTAAAAATATTCTCCTGAGCTCTGCAGGTGGGCAGTTTTTTCTTGGGCAAGTGCCATCAAGGTGCCTTTGCAGTGTTTCTCCAGCGATGTAGAACGAAATTGTAGGTGCTCTGCAGAATGAGTGGTGTGGATGAGTGTCTGGAATTCATCCTTCTCAAGTTTTCATGTATGATGTGAGCCTGAAGAAAATAAGTGCTCACTGACAGACATTGATATAGCTTCAAGCTCTTGGAGAGAGGTCTGGCTTATAGGTCTTTCTAGTTTGTCTGCTCAGTGGCAGGGCTTCCCACTGTCTGTATTTTCCTTCTGCTGGGAAGACTTCTGATTCACCACATTGCCAAGATTTGTTTGAAAAGCCCTGTGAATGCTTTGCTTATTATATTTTAATAATGATTTGTCCTGAAGAACAAGTATTATTGTTGTTTTTGTGATCATGATGATCTTGGGATCTGTAAAATGATTCCTTTGACTGTTTTTTCTTCCCCCCCACCCCCTACTTCCTTCCTGGTCTCCCCAAGTCAGGGTGAAGGGGGTATCTTTGCAAAGGACTAGGGCAGTACACTTCCACCCACCTGGTGTTTGTAGCTGAAATGTGAGCCACCAACCTTGGGGTTTTGCTGTAAGTGGGACAAATACTCTGGCAGGAGGAATGGACAATGTCAAATCAAGTGCAAGACTGAGTAAGGAAATGTTTTATTCCAGTTTGTGTTCTGACAGATTCCTTGTGCAATACTGATAAATTTGATAGGACTTTTCTGACTTGCAGAGTTGGAGAAGGTGAGGTTTGTTTGGGGTTTTTTGGGTTTGTTTTTTCTTTTTTAGGTCATAAGTAGCTGCTGTTGTAACAGGGGGTGATGGTTAAACTATTTGCCTGCTAGACTGATGTGTCTTTCCCCAGTTGCTAAACCTGAAAAGAACAGTTTTTTCTTGTAGCCTGTTCTAATTTGCTGACAACCATTTGTAAGTGCTGGCTGAAGTATCTGTCTGCTCTTTTTCTGCAGCAGAGAATCTTAAAAAAAATCAACTTACAAGAGAAATGTGTCTCATATCTGGGCTTGTTAGCAACTTACTGGCTACAAGATCATAGCTGGTTAGTGAGGAACTCTTCAGTCCCCAGGCTGTTCGGTTTGTTGCTTCTTTGTTGATGTACCACTGTGTGATTATCCTAGCAAATGATATATTAGGACTTTAAAAAGTTGTGAATTGTTGTTGCTTTTTATTTGTATCAGAGAAACTTTGGGCATTACATAACTGACCTACTTAAAGCCAGGCTGAAAAAATCCGTCAGGCCCTGAAGATACTGAAGATGTATGTGACTTTCTTTCCTAGGGATGCTTGGAGTTCCTTGGGAGACATGTCCAAAGAAGAAGCCATGATAGCCTACGTTGAAGAAATGAAAAAGGTAAGTTTACTGATGAGTGGAAGGGATCTTCTATGACAAATGTTCCAGAAATAAATTGGGCAACATGAGGAAATTTTTGCTGACTACTATTGTCAAAACTCCAAATGAGTTATTCCCTATGTGAACTGTTACATTTCAGTACTGTGCTGTTTAGCCCATGGGGAGAAGAAAATTAAGTAGTTCCTTTCAAAGCTATAGAACTTGGGTTGTTTTCAGAGAAACATTAGAGCTCTAGCTGATACAAAGCTTAAATGACAGAGCTAAAGAAAATGAAGTATTGAAATCATGGTAAAGGGGGCAGTGGGGAAAACAGTGGAACTTAAAGTATAACAAAAGAAAAATGATTTATTGCAAACTGCCTCAGTTGTCAGAGCTGAGAGAGGTAAGTGATCCTTATCTTGGAAAGGAAAAAAACCCAACCCTCCAGGAAGACTTAAGGAGCAAGAGTCTCACTCTTGTGAGTGGAGACATGAGTATAATAAAATATGTAAACTTAATCGTCATTGATTTTTCAGGAAGAACTCTAACAACCTGAATTTTCTGTACTTGTCATGAAAATATTCTTTCTACATTATAGTTGCAGTCAAACAGTTGTAATTGAGTCTGTCTTTTTTGGAATAGGTGTGTAACTTGTAAACAGTCATAGTTACTATATGAAGCAGAGATTGCAGCGTTAACTAAAGTAAACATTCAGAATTAGTGTCTTTTATTAACTAATCCTTTTCACTGCAGTCTTTTCACTGAAGCTCTTCTAGGTGGCCTTTCCAGTTTAAAGATTATTTACTGGTTAGAAGTATAATATATATTTTATATATATATATATACACAAGTGTGTATATATATATATATACACACAAGTATAATTGTAATCTATTATTATAATGAGGTTAGCATCAAGGAGAGAAAATGTAAGTTCTACTCTGAATACACTTGCTTTTCTCCTAGGCCACTATCTTGACATTGAACTCTTAACATGTTTAATGATGGATACAACAAAAACTTTTACTAGGCGAGAAGCTGGAGTCTGACGACTGTTCTTTTTCCTGTCTCTAATTTTGGTAATTTAGTTCCTACTGGTATTACTGTAGCTGCTGTAAAATGAAAACCAGACAACTCCAGAAAACACAGAAAGCCAAATATTATTAATTTGGTCCTAAACACCACTAAATTTTAATAATTCCTTTTGATTGTGTACCACAAGATTTAGTGCTTCATTTCAAATCTCGCATTCAAAATGTATTAATACTTCAGTAGAGTACTTTATTTTCTTCAATGCAGTAGTTGGTTTGATCAGGACACTAAACCAAAATGAAATAGCAATGTTTGTTCTAAAAAAACCCCAGTAAGCCTCCTGTGAGGAAGTCTACTTACTTGACCCTAATGAAGCACAAATATTCTGTCTCCGTACAGATTACGTGTGGGGATTGGAGAGCAAATGACTCCTTGCCTCACTCAGCTTTGAAACTGGGGAATCTGTTTACCCTGCTTTGGTGCTGTTTCAGCTCTCGCATTTGAAATACGAGCTTCAGCTTTTCCAACCTGATTGATTCTACTTGAAATGTCAGTGGAAGTACATTTCAAATGGATCCACGGGGCTGTTCTATCAGCACGTGCTGCGCTAATCCTTGTGGTGTTACTGTGGCCATTTCGCCGTTGCTGCGTAGGTGTCCGTGTTTAAGGGGGCAAAAAATCCCGTGTGTGCTGGTACCACAGGACTGTGTGTGAGGCTGTGTAAGATTGCTTATTCCCCCCCTGCCTCTGGGACATGTCTCTAGCATTTGCTCATTGTGTTTGGGCTATACATGCATCGGATGGCCCTGTCACAAGCAAGTTTATTGTAAACTCGTTGGATGTGTTTTTTCCCTTCATGTGGTAGCCTTGAAAATTGCAGCTGATGAGGAATGTGCCTGGGTGGTGTTTTGAGGTGCTGGTGGGAGATGACCAAAGATGTCTTAGTCTTAGCTAAGATGAACCTGAGCTCAGGCGCATTTTGTTGAGGGTTAATTTATTTTCCAAGTAGCATTTGTGAAATTTTATATTGCAATACTGTTTAATTTATTTGCACTTCAGATATATTTTTTTTGTTATAAATTAGAAATAAGCGATGATATCTTAGCATAAAGAAGTGTTAACATTATATGGTGTTTTTAACTTAAAATAAGAGTCTTATTTTAATTAATTAATTATATTAATTAATATATTAATTGTCTGACATCCAAAGAAAACAGAAATTATTTTGCACCTTCAAATTTTAAGGCTGTATATTATGCCTAGTGGCTGTTATAAGGAAGCAAATTATTTTATCTGTGGAAGTATTTGCTCTTTTCTTGCTCACCTAAAAGCTAGCAGTTACAAAACTTACTTTAACAGAAACTGTGCAGTAAGATTCTAGGAATTGCTCCAAATTGCAGAGAGTATGTTGAGGTCTGTTAAGAACAGATGAAGAGCGGTCATGTGCAGACATAATAGAAATGCACATATGAAACAGTTTACAGTGCAGACTGTAGAAGTAAATACATGGCAAATACAAGTGTTATTCTACAACAGGTTTCTTGTTTCTCTCAATGCTTTTGAAGTTAAAAAAAAATAAATCACTAAATTGTCCTGTCTCTGGTTCATATCCAGCTCCGTATGTGAACTCTGAACATTTATCTCTAATAAATATGGAATTAATTATTTACACTGAATAGATCAGAGAAGTGTCACTGAAATTACAGTCTGGTAGGATCCTTGTCTCTTGGTATCCTTGACTGGTTTGCAAGTGTTGACTCATTACCTGCTAGCCCGCCTGGAGCTTCTGCTCTGTGAAGTAACACTGTAGCTTTCTACCATGGCTTTCTTGGTGGTGTTCTGGACGAGGAGGTGTACTGGAGCTGTTAGTTTGCTTCTACCCAAGTCTTTTCCTATAGCTGTTGCCTCTTTTAAAAACAATAATTTAAAAAATAAAGGATGAAAGAGGAACAAAGCTATCGGCAAAAAGCTTGGTTGAAAGACCTTAAACTAGAATGGGGCAATGATATTGTATGCTTTTAAAATAATAGTCAGTTATTAAATTATTGAATCTCCTCTGTTTAACTTAGTTTAGACTTAAAATTTTGCGTTCCTATCAGATGATCAAAGGTATTGGTGTTGTAATTTAAAATGAAATCTGTATGAAAGGAAGAGCCCCAAATGACTTTAAGAGCATAATTTGATTCTAGTTTGCTCTGATTAGTATGTCTTTGCACTGTCCCAGTTTTGCTCTATTCTGTCCATTTTGTTGTTGGGTTTAGATGGACCCAGCACGGCACTTCTGATCTGCTCCTTACATTCCGTTGAAGGTGACAGGGTTTGACAAATGTAGAGAATCTTCTAAGAAAAAAGTCAGCTTAATTTTCTCTGTGGGAAGACTTGTCTATAAAATAAATTTCATCAGATAACAGCAGCCTGTTGAACTTGAGTTGGTTTAGTTTGAAATTGCTCAAATGATGGATTCCAACGTCTACTAATCCTGTGCTGTGTCTGTCCTTTAGTGTTGGCAAATCTATTAGCTCTCCCATCTTCTCTTCACTTAAAAAAAGTTAATACAGCTAGTTAAGATTCTTGTTTGGTAAATTAGGTTTTTGTTGGTTTTATTTAATAAAAAAAATAAAATCAGAAGAATAACACATTAAGTGACTTGGAGAAATGTTACTGAGTTTTACAATGACCAGCAGTTTCTAAAATGGGTTGAAATGAATGAATCATTGAAATGCTGTTTCATAAGATGTTTCATATTTTGGACTTGTGCAGATTCTTGAGAGTATGCCAGTGACGGAGAAAGTTGAAGAATTACTACAAGTAATAGGCCCGTTCTATGAAATAGTAGAAGATAAAAAGAACAGAAGATCTGACCGAAGCTCAGGTTCGGACAAATAACTTCCTTTGTACTACTAATAAGCACAACTCCAGATTTTTTTGGGCTTGTTTTCTATAAATGAATTTAAAGCTAAACACTGCATCTTTCTGTTCATTCTCTTTACCATATGGCAGTTCGAATGGCGAAAGTCTCTAAGTATTTGGAAGGTAGGAATAATAAATTATGTGTAAGTCCATCTTTTCCATTGTTTTTGTGCTGTAGTAACTTCCTGCTAACACTTGTGACTACTGGGCTTATCACTTCATTAGGCTGGATTTTGGTTTATTTTGCTTTTGAGGTACAAAGCAAAGTTAGACCCAGGAAGCTGCATTTTTAGTACTTGTCTCCAGCCTTTTTAAGCTCCTGAAGGAAGCCTCTTCCTGAAAAAAACAATCTATTTAAAACAAACAAATGACTACCCCAATCAAATCTAGTTTCTGCCTTTCCATTAATAAAAGAAACAACTGTTTGAAATGTGTAGTGCTACATCCTGATGTAGCTGTGGATTATCAAACTGCATGTGGAGCTGGTAATCCAGTGAAATAAAAATCTAAAAAAAAATTTTAAAAATCCACAATCAAAATCCAATCTTCTTAAATCATGATTTCTCCAATACACACAGAATCTAAGATGGTTTTGTGAACCTTTCAAGTTAAGTTTTCTAAGACTCAAGTTCATTAAGGGAATGTCTATTTAAACATTTTAAATGTCTGACAAGTGGCAAACCCAGTGGTGTCATAGCTGCATAAAAATCAGTGTGGTGATTTTTGTTTAGCAATACCATTGTGAGAACGTTTTGATAATAACAGTTATTATGTTACAGGTAATGTGTTCATAAAATTGTAATATAAAGCTTACAGTTGTTTAAATCTGGCTTAAAATTACAGTTGAAATGCAACAGGGCAGAACTTAATTTTCGAAACAGTTTTTAAACCATTGCACAAATTAATTGTTTTAATGTGTTTTAAGATACAGAAGTCAGCTGGTTAAGTTGCCTTTTGTGTGTGGCTTTTTTCCCCCCACCTTAAAGGAACATAGTTTTGATTTCTGTTTTGGTAGCAAGTCTTGGAGAAACAGAAATAATTTTTAATTGTTTTTGAGGAAAGGTAATGGTAGAAGTTTTTAAATGGCCATTTTGAAAGCTATGTAACTTTTCTCAACTAAAATTGTGTATACTTCATATCTGGGATTTAATGAGCTTGCCTAGCAGCTGGATTGACAGGCAAGATTGTAAGAGTATCAGTAGATTCAGGTCAGTGATCTGTGTAATAAGGATTTGCTTGGACTTGGTGTCTGTGGCACAGTGCCAAAAGCCACTTCTTAAAAAAGTGACTTATCTAGGCAAACAGAGAATCGTGGCAGTTAAACCATTCCTGTTTCAATAACAAATTTAGCTTTTTTTTTTTAAAAGGCAATTTAAACATAAGGCAGTGTAAATAAAACACAAAAACAAATTTCAGCTTTATCTTGTTCTGGCAGTGTTGCAATAAATCTGGTGGTATGTCGTCATTCATATGGTTTAAAGTTGCAATGTCTAATTATGTCACAATGAATTAAGAGAGAATTTTCACAAAGTCTGTTGTATGTTGTAACTTTGCCATTACTTTTAAGATTTGAAACCCTTTCTTCAGCGCTCTTACCTTGATTAAAAGTGAAGCTAGAAATAATTATTGTTGTTTACAGTACAGGTCTCAAAATATTTCCCAGAAGTGTGGAAGCATGAGTACCTTCAGTCTTCCAGATACACGCTAAAGAATAGAAAGAATCTGCCCAAGTCAGTGTTTGAGGTGGTGTAGACGCTGGTGACAATACTGTTAACAATGGACACATGGTTATGTTGTGGTTGTGGTAGTTCCTCCAGTCCTGTTTTCTTCCCCTGCCCCCAGGCCCCTACTCTCTGGAGCTTCTGTTGTGGACGGGTTTTTTTCATAGGCAGGCAATCATACGTTCTGGAAACTGGGACCCTTCTCTTGAGTGTCTTGCTTCATACTGTACTCCCTCCATCTTCTGGCCCATTCTGTTCTGACTTCACCTTCCATTCTTCTTCCACTAGATTTTAATCTGTGTGAAGATCATAATCTATTTGTTTAAGAATTGCACGCCACTTCCTCAAAATCAACAGTATTCTTGAGTTAGTCAAAGAGACTGTCTGGAAGTTTAGTGTACGTGAGCTGTGGCTGGTGTATGATCTCTAGCAGATTGTAGCCTTTTAAAACTGAGTTTCTACTCCTTGTGGTTTCATTGAAAATGTTAAATACAAACCACTGAAATACTGTCTTCCTGAATCAATAGAGCTTGTGGCTCTCGTTAATAAAGAACACTGAAGCCTGACATACCAGCATTAAAATGACTTGTAACATCTTCTAGACAACTAGGACAAACTTGCCAGGTCCATGGCTTGCAAATATCAAGACTTGCATGTGTTAGTAAATAAAGGAAAATGGAGAATTCTCTCCAATAGACTGAGCAAATCTGGGGGATATTTCAAAAGCAGGTAAGCTGGGTAGTGTTTTCAAAGCTTATCCTGCAGCTGTGTGAGAAGTTTAGGTTCTCTGTGAAGTTCAGTCAGTAGTCACTCTGACAGGTATGAAGTACTTCTTTACAGATAAAATTATTGACAAATTATTTTCAGGTACATAAAATACTCAACATCAAAGAAGAAAGGGGCTCTTAGCTGTCATAGCGCTGCAGAAGAGAATAGGGACTGTTGCAGTATTACAGAAGGACCCTTTTGTTTGCAGCTGCTGGAAAAGTAGAGGGAAGGCTGTTGGGTAAGGTGGAGGGTGCTTTAGAAGAGCAACCTTTTAACTTTTTGCACTTGATAATAAATGCACAAGAAATCTGATATCCAAGCCAATGCTAAAAAGGCCAAGAAACTTCAAAATACCATTGCTCACTGAATTCGAAATGTTCAGAATGTGCATTCAAGCTTTCTTGTGTAGTTACACCTGAAGAAGCCAAAGGTGGGCTAGAATTGACACGTTACTGATCTGATTCTGGGTGAAAAATATCAAGAGTTTCAGAGCCAACGCATCCTTCTGAATGTTTCCTTGAGGATGTTTGTGGATGTTTTCTTTTTTCTGAATATTAGTAAATCCAAAGAGAGGCAAGAAAATCCCTTCCTGGCAGGTCCACACTAAGTTATCTCAACAACTAAGCAACGTATCTGGAACAAGTTCTTCAGCAGAATTTTCCTGTGCACTCTTTCTGCTTTGCGACAAGGCATTTGATCTGTTTTAAAATCCTACTAAGTAAAGATGACCCTTTGCCTTTATGCTGAGTTGTAGTAGTCTTTGTGAAGACTACATGTTGCCTCCAGTAATGATAAGTTATGCACTGCAGAGGCTGTGGAAAGTTTCAGCATTACAACACACCTAAACTATCATCCTAATGAGTGTTACTCTCCTGGAAACTTTGCTCCCAGCTGTGTTGCAGTTGTATCAGGTGAAGCCCTGTTGCTGCATACGCTGGCTCTGGGCAGAGCTGATGGCAGCGTAGCGATCATGCAGGGCACTGCTTCTGTAGCAGCTCGTGTGAGTGGCAGAGGATGGCCTGGCTCACAGGCAGATACAGCTATTTGCAGATTTGCTCGGTGTCTTCTAGTATTGGATATGGGAGCTAGGTTTAAAAGATAATACTCACTGAGGTCTGTTGTGATTTTTAGAACAAGCAACTACATGTAAACACTTCTGTTTCAAAGACAGTAGCTAGTACAGGACATAGGTAAGCACTTGGAAAAAGTGAGCCTGTTCTTAATTATTACTTTCCAGGTAGAAACACTTATTCTTACTCTTAAAATGCAATATATTTTCCAACCGTGTTTCTGTAAATTGCATATGATTAGTTTCTCTTTTGAAATAGTTTTATTTTCTCAAAGAGCTTCTTGTGTTTTCAACATCTTTGCTTTCTAATGGAGCATTTGGTGGTACACTCTTCCTGCTTGTTTGTGGGCCTCTTCTGTGAAATACCCTCTGTTTGCTTCATAAGCTCACTTTTTCATTTCTGTTTGACTCCAAATATACTTGCTAAATGGATTTCTTCCTTCTCCTTCTTCTTTTCATCACTAGGATTTTTAAGGAACTCAATGGCTGTGAATCTTTATGCTTTGTAAGGAGCAGAAAAAAAAAGAGCTAAAATCCCTCTTACTCTGAAATTGCTGTGCTTTAGTAAGATCTGTTGGATGGGTGGCAGCACCACAGCTAGGAGGTGCGTTAAGGCAAGGCAAGCATGGGGCAGGAGGAGCTGGTGGGTGGGTGAGAGAGGTTTTTAAAATTCCATTCTTTAAGCTTTTTCTCCTTTTCTAGTTTCCAACAATAAGCTAACAGCTATAATCAAGGTTACAGATTATATTAGGGAGGCTAGTGTGAAACTTACTACACAAATATTTTTGTTAATATCTCAGTAATTTAATAACCTATCTTCAGAAGCATCTAGAACATTCTCTGCAGCATTAGCTGCATGATGGGATTATTATAGGATTAAGGGCTGGACCAGCAAGTGCCAAAGTCAGTGGAGAGGCTCAATGAGATGTGGATCAGTGTCTCAACAAGCTGTGGCTTGTCGTGTTGTAATATGTCTGCTTCAGGCTTTCCAGTTCAAATCTGAGCCTACGCTGTGATTCGACTTCAGACTAGTGGTTTTATGCCAGTGCTGTCTCACAGTGTTGGAAATTAGGGCAGAGTGTCAGTACAGAGAGATGGGAGACCTTCTAGCGGCCTTCCAGTACCTGAGGGCCTCCAGGAGAGCTGGGGAGGGACTTTTTTCAAGGGCAGATATTGATAGAACAAGAGGTAATGGCTTTAAACTGGAATAAGGTAGGTTTAGATTAGATATTAGGAAGAAATTCTTTACTGTGAGGGTGGTCAGACGCTGGAACAGGTTGCCCAAGGAAGATGTGGATGCCCCGCCCCCGGACGTGTTCAAGGCCAAGTTGGATGAGGCTTTGAGCAACCTGGTCTAGTGGAAGGTGTCCCTGCTGATGGCAGGAGGGGGTTGGAACTAGATGATCATTTAGGTCCCTTCCAACCCAAATCATTCTATGATACAGCTCAATCCTGAGGATATCAACAGCTCCTCTCTCATAGAGTAGTAGAGAATATCACTACAGGTTGAGCAGCAGAATATCCAAATGTGAAAATGTAAGAATAAAAATTGTTTATTTCAAAGT